CTTGTGTTAGAGTAGCAGTCAGCCAGAATCAAACCTGTGCTATGGTGTGTGGGCTTGTTAGCAAGCTGGCTACACCAGAACTAACATCTTGTACTAACTAGGACAATACAGTAGAGCTGGTTGTGGGGTGTGCAAGCTTAGCAGATTAATGTCCACCCACCACAGGACATGTTCGATTCTGACCAACTGCTACACCAAAACTAGTCATTTGACTTTGCTGCATTTGATTTTAGTCTTTATTGGCCAAATTTGTCTCAGTGGAGCAAAAGTTAGCAGGAACTGAACTTGTACTGTGGTGGGATCTGCTAGCCTGTTGTCTGTGCTAGTGCTTGCACCACAGCCAGCACCACTAGGGTAACCATATGCCCTCTTTTTCCAAGATATGTCTTCTTTTTAGGACCCAAACACATATGGACAAGACTGCCTAAAAATTTGGGATTTGTCCACTCTCATACTGTGTTCTCTTTTTTGAAAACCAAATACCCTCCACTGTCCTAAACAGCACTAGACACTAATGCTAATTTAGCCTGCAGGCTAACAGTTTCAACACTCCATGACAGGTTTGATGTCAATTAAATGATGCTTCACAAATTTAAAGGATAAAGACTCAAATCTGAGAGAGTAAAATGGAATGACTGGTTTTGGAGTGACATAATGAAAACAAGCCTGTCATTTGGTGTGTTTAGCTAAGCTAATGCTTGCACCACAACCAGCAGTCTACTGTTCTGGTTAGCACTAGGTGCTAGCCCATCACAGTAGGCAATGTAAATGTTATGCAAAGGTATATCTCATGTAACATGGATAAAGTGTTGGTGTAACTTTTTATATTCTGTAAAAATCCAATCTTCACATTATAGTTATATTCATTAAAAATAATTTGTCCTATAATGTCGGACAATCACAGAGATGTGAGATCAGCCTTCTTCTACCCAGTTCCACAATGAAAATATCCCAAATCCAGTTGCCCTTACTTAGTTCATGGTTCCAAGTCAAGCTTGGACTTTCAAGTTATAGCAAGTCAAATGACGTTTCCAGATGGGTTGACTATTAACTAAATGGATTACGTTTAAAAATATTTGAACACTGGCTGATTATATGGACAGCAGATAGAAGTTCACCCACAATGTGAAGCTATAGCTCGAAATGTGTAAAGCTTCCTGCCATTGGGCCATGGAGCATTGTTCTCTTGAGTGAAGCACCAGTTATAACTTTTGGCATCAGTTGAACTGCTGACTAGACCTAATCAGTTACCATCAGTGACTCATTAATGCGTGGGTGAATGCAATCAACTCCTAGAAGCAATTTTCCAAAAAAGTCTGTTAGTGCAGCAAAAGCGGAACCAACTTCTTATTAATGCTGTTAACATATGAAGAAATGTTGGATGAGCAAGTGTTTGGATACTTTAAGCCACACGTAGGAATCCCAGAAAGTGCTGATGACCATACAAAACTAATCAAGACTACCTAAATAAATAAGATTTATGAATAATTTACCTTCCTGTCCCTTCTATTATTCAAACAATGTGCATAACACTCTGAAGAAGCTTCACATGAGCCCAGTGCCGAGAGAGAGAGGTACAAAGCCCACAGAATCAGTACCTGACCTCACTAATGCTCTTTTGGCTGAAAGCAATCAAATCCTCACAGCAATGTTCCAAAAGAGTAGAGGCTGTTGCTCCAGTAAGTGTGGACAAACGCCCTATTAATACCCTTGATTTCCGAAGAAATGTTGTATGAGCAGGTGTCTACAAACTTTTGGACATTTAGGATCAGTTTCCCAGGTTAAGGATTAAGCCTACTCCTGGACTATACCGCATTCTGGACTTGGCTGCTTCTCGGATTCAACTTTCTCCACAACATGGATTTGTAGACCTTGACTCACTTCTCAGTGTCATACGTTTACAGTCTCAACTCAACTTCCTGTACAGAGGCTTGCATCACATTGCGACATCAGCCCTTTTGCGCCACAGGCCGTGAAGCAACACATTTGTCACATACACTCATGGAATAATCTCTGGTAGCAGTTTAGCTGGAAAGAAAGTGATGTATACTAGTATGCCGTAATGTAAAGATGGTCCCACTTTATATTAAATGTCTCTAATAACTGTGTAGTTACATGTAAACAACACATGCAAGCACAATGTAACTACTAATGATTTAGGCACTGTTCTAGATGGATTCCAGAAGCACACCTTATGTAATTACACATGTATCAACTTCAGTTTTGTCTCATGCAATTACACAAGTGTGTCTTAATAGTTGTAACAGCCTATTCTCTCTTATGTAATTACACAAGTATAATAACACAAATGTAATTACTTTGTAATCAGACTAGAACAGCAGTTTTTTACTAGCACTGTAACCAGTTTCAGCTTTAAACCATTCTGTATGTATATGTGACAGAACAGCAGATGACCCCTTATCTTAAAATGTAATGACGTTAATTAAATGTGTTGCATTTCCCCCAAAGCAGTGTCTGTATTACCACTGCATTATTACACAGTACCTACATAACAATTACACATGAACTGTCCACTTATTATAAAGTGTAACTTTAACAATACACTACAGGAAAGTTCCTGTATAAAAGATAAGCTTGTGTTATTACAAGAGGCAAAACTGAAGTTGATACACATTTGTAATTACATAGGCTGTACTTCTGTAATCCATCTGCAACATTGACTAAATCATCTTTTGTTAGTGTTGTTGCTTATGTTGTTCATGTGTAACTACACAGTTATTAGAGACGCTAGCTCATCCAAAGTTTCTTCTGAAATCATGGGTATTGATAATGAGTTTTTCCCCCTTTGCTACAGTCACAGCCTCTACTCTTCTGGGAAGGCTTTACACTAGATGTTGGAACATTGCAGTGAGGATTTGATTGCAGCCACATGAGCATTAGTGAGGTCAGGTACTGATGTTGGATGATTAGTTCAGGACTTATCCCAAAGAAATTGGATGGAGCTCCATCACTCCAGACACCGCAGTTCCACTACTCCAAACCCAGTGCTGGGGGTCTTCACTCTCTTGTTCCCTACCAACACTTAGCATTGGACTCTTGTGCACAGCTGAAGGCCTGTGCTGGCAATGGGTGCACCTTAAAGTATCTGAATATGCTAATTAGAATGGGTGTCTGGATACTTTTGAACATATTGTATATAAGATATAGCATAACATGTCTTAAAATAGGCCTATGTGTCCTTAAAGTGTGCTGTTGACTGATCCATTTTCAATTAATTTTTCAATTTTACAACCACTTTTTTCATTCGGGTAATTTAACTATTAGATGTTGTTGTTATGTTGATCAATCTAATTGAATGAAGATATTAAGCTACAAACTACCATCTTCTAACCATTTCTTTGATTCCAGCATCAAGTTTGACTTGTTTTCAGGCCAGCATTGAGTTTTTCAAGCCTAGTTATGAAAACTCTGCAGCGTAAAAATGCGAGGAATCTCAAGCCGCCAACCTACAATGTACAAGCATTAATCCTGCCATGTAGCATGGTAACGCTCAATGTTTGAAACAACAGGAAATAAATAAGTGACTTGAAAAAGCCCAACGGAAACCAAGTGCCAGCCCATGCACACAGCCTTGTTTCTATTTAAGAAGTTAGTTTGTGTGGATTGTGTGGACACAATCTTATCTGCTGTTTAGCAGTGATTCTTCAAGCATGTACTATCTAGAAAATATATGATATATACATATATATATATATATATATATACATAGGAAAGACTGAAAATAATGTGATTTAAACATTTAGCTTGATGTTGTTGTCTTTGTTGTAGATTTAGAGATAAAGTCATGATAATACATATTGTTATATGTAGCACATTCTTTAGAAGTATTGTTAATTTCACAAAAGAGTATTCTGTTATTCTTATTATTAGAATATTATTAGTAAGCATCTTTTGGCATGTAGCTGCACTGTTCTAAGATTTGACTACGAGACATTGAAACATGTCTAGGAAGATTGTACATGTGAAAAAAAGAGGACTTCAGTATAGGGGTAGTTGTAATGCTTCTATTGAGCCTAAACAAGCCAGTAGCTACCAATTAACAGACTGCTTATTACTACTTTATAAATCAAATACAAAGGTGAATTAAGCATTTTCCAGAACACTTGTAATGCTTTTATTGAGCCTTAACAAGCCAGTAGTTACTCATTTACAGGCTACTTATTACTTCTTTAGTAATAAACCAATTACAAAAATGAATGTGTTTTCCAGAACACTTATAATGCTTTAATTGAGCCTTAGTAAGCCAGTAGTTACTCATTTACAGGCTGCTTATTACTACTTTATAAACCTATTACAAAAGTGAATTAGCATTTTGCAGAACTCTTGTAATGTTTTTATTGAGCCTTAACCAGCCAGTAGCTGCTAACTTACTGTTGTTCATTACTAGTTCATTAAACAATAACAAAGGTGAATATAACATTTTTATTCTTACACTATACATCATAAACATGCACTTTAGGTGTATCTTATCTTAAGCCTTCATTATGCCTTATCAAGCCAATAGCTGGTATCTAACTCAACATCTGACTACCCATTAACCTAGTTTGCTCTAGTGATCACTTAATAAAGTAATTATTAGCAGCTACTATCTTGATAAGCCCAATAAAAGCATGACAAGTGCTCTAGAAAATGCTTAATTCAGCTTAGTTCTTATTTAATAAAGTACTAAGCAGCAAGATACCAGCTACTGGCTTGATAAAGCTTAAGAAAGGTGTTACAAAGGCATTATAATGCCCACCCATACTGTAAGTGTTACCAAATGAACCTTCTTAGATGTATTATGGTTGTATCTTCTCAAACCAAATGTAAGGAGGCCTGAAATCACCCCAGCCTCTAACCTAAGATTCAACTCCTACTCATACATCCTCTGAAAGCTCACACCAACACCATTTCTCCATTTTGCTGAATAGTCGAGTAGATGCTATGTCACTCGAAAGACCGAAAGACAACCAAAGAAAGAATAAATAAGTAGCACTGACCTGATCCTCCGCTGATATGAAGCCCTGTGCAAACTTCAGATAATCCCTGTTAGAGATGGAGTGAAAGAAATAACAGTTTTTTTTCTCATTTAGAGGAAGTGCGATTGTCTCACGTGGTGAACGCAAACTTTTCACTGCCTGTAAGTCTGGCTGCAGGCGCAGAGGCTTTCGCCTTGAAAGCTTCACCACTTCCTGGGCCTTGCACCTACATTGTCTTCTCTCAAGATGGCTGCAGTCAGAGTTTGCAGCGGGGTTGCCAGTGAAAGAGCTGGTTAAACTTGGTGCCCGTCTAATCGTATAGGCTTCGTAATAATGATAATAATTGAACTAGGGCTGGTAAAGATGGCAATATTTAAAGATTTCCATAGCTGGGTTGTGAAGAGGTTTGTTGATACTGTCTGAATTCAGACAGTCATTTAAATCAACCGCAGTTTTCTGACTTTTTAGTGCAATTTCTATATTATGAAGAAAGATTAACCTCAAAATGAAATGAATGCTGCAATGTTCTTATAGTCAAATATGTCATAACATAATCTAATTTCATGAAGTAGGAAAAGATTGTTAAATTGATTATGTTGGTCATGGTGCTGGCACCAACACTTTCTGACAGGTATTAGCTGGCTAGAAGAAACCTCAGCTCAACAGATTTCGAACACGAGAACTTCCAAATAAGGAGAGCGTTCACTGACGTGTTTAAAAATACTGCAAGTGCACCTTCCGTCTCCCTTTCTGCTGATACAGGAAACTGCATCAGAGCCCACAGTAGGGTTCCCATGAGCTTTCAGTAGTCACTTTGTTCTCGGTGGTGAAAAGGTACCACAGCACTGTCACATCCTTTCAACTTCAGCTTTGTATAATTCACAGCTGATTCTCAAATTGATTCAAATTCCAGTTAAACTTGGCAGTAAGTATAAGTTATTACATTTTTTAATAGATATTTCTGAGGAAATTACATACGTCTATCCACTTGCATACAGTGCCCTCCACAAATATTGGCATCCCTGGTAAACATGAGCACAACAAGCTATAAAAACATTCTTTATTTATCTTTCATTCAGAATATTAACAAAAGTCTAACCTTTATTTGAAGTACAATGACTGAAAAAAATAGTATTGGGACATCAACATTTTTCTCAAATCTCTGTGCCACGGTTGTTGGCAATACTTCATTTAATATTTTGTGCAGCCTCCCTTTGCAAAGACAAAAGCTCTGAGTCTTCTATAATTTTTAATGAGACTGGAGAAAACATGGCAAAGGATCTGAGGCCATTCCTCCATACAGAACCTCTCCAGATCCTTCAGATTCTGAGGTTCACACTGTGGACTCTCCTCTTCAGCTCATCCCAAAGGTTTTCTGTGGGGTTTAGGTCCTGGGACTGGGGTGGCCATGGCTAAACCTTGATTCTGTGGCCATTGAATCCTTGTTTTGTTGATTTTGAGGAGTGTTTTGGATCATTGTCCTGCTGGAAGGTCCAAACTATTGCCCAGTTTAAGCTTCCTGGCTGAGGCAGTCAGAAATTTTATGGAAGCTGTGATACCATGTATTGGGAATAAATTGTTCAGGGCCTTTGGAAGAAAAACAGCCCCACAACATCACACATCCACCACCATACTTCACAGTGGGGATGGGCTACTTTTCTGCATGACTATCTTTGTGTCTATGCCAAACTCACCCCTGGTATTTGTTACCAACTGTCTACTTTGGTCTCATCTGACCATCAAACATGATGGTCCCACTGAAAGTTCCAGTAATGTTTGTTAAACTGTAGGCGCTTGAGTTTGTTGGTCCTTGACAGCAGAGGCTTTCTACTGACAGCCTTCTCAAGCAACTTGTGGCTATATAGGTCATGTTTGGTGGTGGTTTGGGAGATGTTCTGACCCCAAGACCTAACTAATGTCTGCAATTTCCCATCTGTGATGTCTGGAGATTTTTTGTCCACTTGAACCATCCTCTTCATTGTGCTTAGGGTCCATATAGACATATGTCCACTTCCTGGCAGATACTTAGCATCCCCAGTTGTTTTAAGCTTCTTAATTATTGACCTGATAGAAGAAAAAGGCTTTTTCAACTGTTTAACTACTTTCTTGTAGCCATTTCCTGATTTGTGCAGCTCAACATCCTTTTGTCATATATCACTGCTGTATTCTCTGGTCTTTCTTATACTGATGGATGACTGAGGGAATTTGATCTGTGTGTCACCTTATATTTATATCCCAGTAAAACCTGGAAGACCACCCAAACTGCTTCAACAGGTAAACAGCATTCAAACCATTCATTTTGTGAGGGGGGGACATCAAGCTCCATTCTTGCTTCTATACATCCTTCCACTGTAAGAAGACAACTCAACGCAATGGGTCTGAAAGGATGTGTAGCTGTTCAAGAAACTCTTACTGAGAAAAGGAAACAGATAAAAAAAAGGAGTTCTTTTGCATTAGAACACCAAACTGGACATATGAGATGTCTCGTAAAGTTTTAAGGACTGACAAATCTAAATTTGCAATCAACTTTTAAGACTGAAGTTTGAAAAAATGTCTCTGCAGATTTCTTAGAAAAACTGAAAGCAAATCCAAATGAATGGAAGCTGCAATAGACTAGATATTTTCCATGTTGAGCTACACAGTGTCACTTCTTGCCATCATGAATTTACTGGGAGGAGAATTTCTCACAGCCAGATTTCTCAGGTTTTGATTTAGAGCCGCATAACTTGAGACTCTAACGTGAGGGCTGTCCAATAGGAATGTGTTGTATCTCACCTGTTATTGGACAGGCTTGACTTTAATGTAACCTGCATTGTAGAATACATTCTTTGTCTCATAAGCTGTGTTGATGATACATATGTGTTAGTTAGTTCATAATCACATGGCTGGAGTGGTGAAAGATTTTACAGTGCATTTTCTTTTTCCTGGGCCAAGGTCCAGTTCATCCCTCTGTCTGATTCATTAGCATCTTGTGGGGCAATGTGAGCTTCAAATCACCAAGGAAATCATAGGGGGCTCATGGAAATCATGGAGATCTTATACGAATCTCATGGAAATTGAGAAGACCCTCTTGAAGGAAAGTACAGAATTTATGGAGATTTCATGAGAATGGTCAAGATGTCATGGAAATCACATGAAGGTTTCATGGAAATCACATGGAACTCATGGAGATTTCATGGAAATCTCATGGAACTCATGAAGGTTTCATGGAAATCACTTGGAACTCATGGGGATTTCATGGAAATCACATTGAACTCGTGGAGATCTAATGGAAACTGCAAAAATCTCAGGAAAATTTCATTGAAATTTTATTGAAGATCATGAAATTGTGGAGAAATCCTGAAATCGTGAACATCTTATAGAACTGTAATGGAAATCATGGACATTCCATTGAAATGTCATGGAAATCAGGGAGATCTCACAGAAATCACAAATATCTTGTGTAGCGTTTTATGCTTTAGTCCTTGTCCTCCTGTTGAAAAGCACACGGCCAAGAATTAATTTTAAGTTTCTCAAAATAATTGAACTCAAACTGAACCATAAGTTATTTTTGTTCCTCAGCAAATTGCTTCAGGAACAGCTTCTGTTGTGCTCTTTACTGAGGGGGTATTAATCCATCAAAAATGCAATATAAAATCAAACCACTAGATGGAGACTATTACTTCACGTCAATTATGAATGTTTATTCTACTGCAGTACTGCAGGCATCCACAAGGTGGAGACAGAGACCTGGACAACAAGAGTGAAACACACACTCAGGTCAATCCCATCATAGAAAGCTTCCACACAGCCAAGCAGTAGCACTGTTTACTTCTTTATTGTTGTTTTGGAAAATGTGATTAAACTTGTCCAACCTTGATTATGTCTAAAACTGAAATCTGAGTCAACCTGAGTCCAACAGAGCTGTTTCACTAACCCAACAATTAGTATTAAAATGACTTTTGTCTTTTGAATGGTATGATATGAAGAATTGTGCTTAATGTGAAAAGCTAAGATCAGTCTTGATTTCACATTTACTGCAGTTCTTTTGTTTTAGTTTCTTTCATTCATCTTCTCAGTAGAGACCTTACCAAAAAAGTACACTTAAAGTTCATTTTATTTTGACTTAAGTAAAGTTAGTAAGTAAAGTATATTTTCCAAGTGTACATTATGTAGTAAGTATACTAATATTAATGTTCTAGCAGTACACTTACAAGTTCTTGGGACAAAGTATTTTTAAGTATACTTTAGCTGTAAGAGTAGTAAACTTTGAGTACACAATTAATTGAACTATATTGTAAACTACAGTAAAAGTGAACTTATATGCACTAGTTATGTATTACTAGCCCACTTTTAAGTTTAGGGAAGTATACTTTGAAACATCTTACTTTAAAAGGATGTGATGAAACCAAACTCCACAGGTCAGTAGAGCGTGACATGCCGTTTCCAACGAGCCCTGGATCGCTTTGCTAGCCTTCAGGAAACCAGAGATACGGACCCTGATATCACCAGGCTCCTCACCTGTTGTCTAATTTGAGCCCTCCATGTTCTTAGTGTCATGATCATGTGATTAGCGTCTAGTCGACATCAAGCTTAAAGCATCCTTGAGCAGTAAAGTCGACAACTCAAAGAGTCGAATAGCTTAGCACTGCTGTCAGAACAAAACCTCGCATCTTCATTTGTGTTGTTTTTTGGTTTCTGACATGATTTGAAAATGCCTGTTGCCCTTTACGTTGTGTATAAATGCCATGAGAAATGGTGGAAAATGACTTGGATAAAAGTCTGGATCCATTGACTTACATTAAAAGTGAAGTAGGTTTTTTCCTTCTTCTGTAAAGTTACTATTTTGGAGATATGAGGTTTTGTTCCAACAACAGCGATATACTTCATAAAGTATAATTACAAGTACAGGCCACAAGTAGAATTATATGTATAAGTATATACAAGTACATGTATGAGAACTACGACAGCGTTTTAGGGCAACTAATTAAAATAAAAATTGTAGACTTCCAGAATAATGTCATAATATTTTGAGAAAAAAGTTGTGCAGTATGATATTTTGAGAAAAAGGTCATACTATTTCGAGAAAAAAGTCATAATGTTTTGAAAAAAAAGTCATAGGATTACAACATTAAAGTGGCATTAATACCAGAAAAGGTCGCAATATTGTGGC